GAAACTTAAAGATATAATTAGAACCTCGATCTACTTAGTCCCAACTTTTACTATCGGTAGTATTACCTTGAAACTTATACACTCTATCCCATGTCATCCCACCTTCTTCCGCCACTAACTCCACCATCTAGGCCATTCCATCCTTATATTTGATCATAACCTAATTTGAACCACTCATCTAGCAACACCGGAATCCCTTTACTATTTCCATTCATGAATTCAAGTTCATTACCAACTTTGTTAACCGGTCTAATACTCTCCCTTAAGATCTCATGACAACACCCTGATCCTTGGCTAATTTAGTAAACCACATGCAAGACTTTTACTAAACCATCTTGACTCAAATCGCCTTTATCAAATATGTCCCAAACAACCTAGACTGACAAATACAGTGCAAACTAGTGAACGTAAAACTCCAGTCAACATCCTAACTTAACAACCACCCGAGAAATGTCCAAACTATAACAATCACTCATACCTGATTCTTCACACCTTTCAAGCAACCCAGACTACCATGGATCACTAAGACACCATCTATCGTATTTAACATATAACCCCAATCTACACAAGAACCATTCCAATATTTAAATATAATTTTGTCCACTCATGGACCAACATGTAACAATCACATTACAAAGAAGTAAATCAGATTTACTTATGGAACCCACACACAAACAATCACATGTACCACGTGTGGTACCCGAGCCAATCGTTTAGTAATTTGTACCGTCGTAGTATCTGAGTCAACTATATAGATATCATTTACCAAGCGTGGTACCCTAGCTAATCGAATATGTATCATGTATCTGACGTGGTACCCGAGCCAACCAAAAGTTATCATGTAACCCAAGGCAACCAAAATATATTCTCTATTAGGTGTGATACCCGAGCCAATCGATAGTCATACAATCACAATCACAATGAAATACAAACACGCTTGTAAATAGAAGTAAACAACATATCCATTGCATGAGAAATGTCAATAAGTTATCATTTCACATTGAACCTTTATATTTTTCCCCCAACATGCATTGTGCGAGTTTTACTGTAGAAACAGTTAACATGTACACATTAGATAACTTAAAAAGCAATAGCCATCACTTACACCAAATGACTTTTCCCAGACAATTTTTCATCTTGGAACCTGATTACTCATATATTAACACCCCTATGATAACACCCAAGAACAACCACAAGGTCAACATCAACAATCAAATACTTTACTATCCTAAACAACCATAAACACACGATCATTCACCCAAACTCCGTGCCTGAAGGCCTATATATGCAATCTCTCGATAATTTACAATATATTATATAATTAAAGACAAATCTAACTTCTAAGTTTAGCCTATCCTATCGGGACACCAAAGCAACTGCTGAAAAATCTAAACATGAACTTTTGGCTCCATTGTGAAGCTTTAACTTGTTCTTAGTCTAAAATAATAACATCGGTACAAAATAAATCACAATTAACCTAAATATTTTCGGATTATAGTTTAATCTTAAATCCTCGACCAACCTCATGATTTTCCCACCCAATCTAGGGCTTTCACACCATTAATTCACCTAGAACTACCAATCTCATGGTTACACTAGTGAATTATGGTAAATAAATCAAGAACAACATCTTTACAACAACCCAAGGTCTTACACCCCAAAAATTTTATCAATCCGGATTTTTCCCACCTTAGGATGAACTCAAACTCTCCCCTAACACTACAAATATCGCCTCTAAGGCCTAGGAATCAAAGTACCAATTTAGGGGAGCCATAAGCCATTTACTTACCTTTGCGAATGATTCAAATGGAAAACTGATGAAATTCGTCCCGTGTCACCGTTACTCTTCCCCAAAATGCACTTGCAAAATAATGGGCGGTTTTGAATTTTTCTACAATAACTGTGACTAACCACACTAGTGGCCCACAACGAAAATTAATTTGGTTGTCGTAGCGGCATGCCTCTGCCGTGCGGTTTGCACGGGATGGAAAAATTGCCTATTTCGCAATATAGATATGAACCTTGACGTTCCAAACCAACTCCTTCGTACCAAGTTTGATATCGAGATTTCTATTCACCCAAAATCACTTACGAAAACTCATACGGACTCCTTAACGTCTTAGCTAAAAGGAAAATCAATTTTGCTTAGGCATTTTATATAATTTTTTCCGCATATTGCCCTAGACTTTCCCTAGCTTAAATTTTGTCCAGTCTAACCTAACATGAAATTTCTAAACTTCCCAATCCAGAAGTTTTCTGACCCACATTGTTTTACAATAAACTTTCCCTTAACGACCGAAAGGGTCATTACAATACCAAAGCATTGATGATATGTCGCCTCTCTTGGTATAAAATAGAAATTTCAAAAAAGTTGTCAAGATGGATGAGGTCAAGCTCCAGTCTCCGATGAAGAAACATTTGTTGGAGATCATCCACTTAATTTGGAGTATGAGATTACAAACCTTAGAGGAGTTTTAAGATAAAGGCACAGGGAGCCTCAACGGCCTCATTATTGAGTTTAGGGATCTGACGAAAGCTACTTGGGACAACTTACCTTGGGTGCACTGCTTAAAAAAAACACCTTTAAGAGTAATTATTAGTAACAATAAGAAAGTATTCACTAATAAATTCTTAAAGCTAAAGCATTAGCCAATAAAGAATATCCTTTTGCTGGCCATAAAATAATTTGCCACTAAAAATTACTAATTGAGACCATTTTTAAAATTATTTTGTCTCTCCCTCCCAAAAAAAATTCCATGACAAGTAATAATTTCCTCCAATTATTTAAAAGAAAATAAGATAAAACCTATTCTCGTAGTGAATGTAATGACCTTCCAGGTCATTTCCTTCATTTTTCAGTATTTTCAACATTTGTATAGTTGTCCTAAATCATTTATGACTTGTTGGTACTGATATTTTTATCACCTGGTTGTTCGTTTGATTTTTATGCAAGTTTTTCTAATTTGAAGCTTTTGAAGTTTGAACGGTTGACTTCAATCAAAACATCAGGTAAATTCGATTAAACAGGATAGTAACACTCCTCCCTCCCTTAAATGTCAACAAATCAAAAGGTTGTTGATTCAAGGGATTAATAATAATCATATATATATATATGAAAGAGAACTCTAGGCTCGCCTACGTGGCGCCACCACAAATAAGGAATCCTTTTTAATTTATTTATTTTCAGAATTAGTCTTCTCTTTCATGAAAAGTTGTGACTTTTATGAAGAGTTGTGACTTTTATTAAGAGTTGCGACTTTTATGAAAGGTTCTGACTTTTCCAAAGAGTTGTGACCTTTCCGATAAGGAACAATAATCATTTGTTCACAGTACCCTTTGTTGTCTATAAATAGAGGGATTTCCTCTCATTTTAAAACAACGAAAATTTTGAACTCCTTCTTCTTCTTTTGCACAATTAAATATTCGTTTATTGTGCTCCTGTTGAGTGGCTCACTGAAACCATTGTTTTTGTATCAATACATTGGTGAATAGAATCGTTCTATCCTGAGAGGATTTATTCCTTTAAACCTCGAGCACTAGAGGGGAATAATTTCCTTAAGAGGACAATGTGCATTCAGTGGGATCGATTTTTTCCTTTCTATTTCATTCTATTGTTCGGTATGTTTTTAACAGTAATTACTCTATGCTTAAGTTATTAATTGTTGGTTTTGAGTACATGTTTGAAACTTTGTTGTTTATGTTTATGCTTTTGATCATTATGTTGAAGTAAATATATGTTAATCAAGAGTTTGATGTAATCATTAGATTAATGGTGTCATGTAGATTCAAATTCTTAAACTTGTGAAATAAATGACTTTAATCTTTATAGAGTTTTCAGTGGCTAAAAGATTCATGAGATGTTCAAGAAGGGACTTTTGAGTGTTCCGAAGTTATGGTGGTTCCACATTACCTTGGGGTTTTAGTTATTCAACTTTCTATGTTATCGAAGTATTCAATCGATTAGTGACATCGAAAAAAAGCATGAATATAGTGGGATGGTAATTATTGTACTCAACATTTTCAAATTTCGGATTGGAATGAATTACCCCTCAAAGTAGGATGAATCCATATTAATCAATTCTTGAAGAAATAATTATCTCCATATAAACATTAGATTAAAAGACAAAAAAAAAAAAACTAAAGTTTTAACCATATTGGTCGAAACATAAACAACAAAATATGTCTTTTGGCTATCAAAGTAGTGCCATCATGTAATCCAAATTATTTGTGTGACATACGTTATTCATTGAATTCAAGACATATGTTTTTAAATTTTAATTAACTTATCAAGTACACAACTAATTACATATGATGTATAACATTTGGATTATGTATGTAGAGGCTTTGAATAGGAGAAAAACTCTTGCAGTTGATGAATAAAATGTTTGTACACTTTTTGAAAATACAAATATAGACAATGAAACAATTACATATCTTTTCTAAAGATTTTGGTGATGAATAACTAGAGTAAAATGCAGAATTAATAACAAAATGCATAAATACTTAGAATCAAATCTTTTTGGTTTTAAGATTAAAAAAATATTTCATTTCATCTCTGGATAAAATATTCTTGACAATTTATCATAGGGTTTTACCCACTCAAAAACACTTATATTATCAGATGTTCAGAAGTAGATTATTAACGTAGTTCACCACATAATTTACCTAGTCATCTTATTAAATAAAAAATTTAAGATGCATCAAATTTCAAGATATATAATCTTACTCATGTTATGTCAGAAAGTACTTTTTACATTATCTCTGAAAAGCAAGTTGCACATTCTTTCTTAAATCACCAATGTGTCAATTGTAGAAATTACTTGTGAAAGTTGAGGACATGAGTAGACACTAGACACCAATATTTCATTTAAAATCCAACGGGTCCCTGAATTTTTATTGCACATTTTGCAAATGACATAAATTTCTTAGACCTTGAGTTTAACAAGATTACCTGAGATAGTTCTTGAAAATAATGCGCAAAAAGTAACATAACGAAATAGTCGAGAACTGCTAAAACTGTTGTATATATAAGTCACATTCCCTCTCTAAGATGAACAAACGTCACATAATCATTGACGATAGAAAAGCATACTCGTTATGGGTCAGGGGGTCCCAAAATGCCAAGGAATGTACATCAACTTTTAGTAAGTGATACTGTTTTCCTCATATGGCTTCTAACGCTTGCCCAACTTTGCCTTTACGATCACACATCATCACACAAGGAGTGATATCCTTATAGTTGACAACTTCAATTCAGTATTTGAGCACAAAAGAAAAAGGTAGTCACTTGCATTCGTAAAAGCAACTATCTACTTGGTTGATATATCAGAAGATGGAGGCGCCTTACTGGTGGCAGCAGATGAGGAACTTACTGACTCTTCAGCTTCAACAAGTTTCCGGAGTCTTTCTTGAAGGACTCGAACTCGATTCTCAGTTCTACGGAGCTTTCTCCATCTATAAGTAAACCAAAGCCCAAGTCCTCCATACACAACTATATAAGAACCCCAAACATAGGGGTAAGTTTCTGCATTCTCTTTGATCTTCTGGTACTGTTCTTGTATCTTGTCTGCCCAATTAGTATATGGGTAGCTTCCCAACTGCTTTTCTGCTTCAGCTGATTGTGGACTACTTTCACTTTTTTCCTGAGAAGTCATCACTGGTCCCTTGATTTATCAAGAGAAAACCACCTCGTAGCGTTTGTTGCTTGGCTGCAGGAAAAAGGAGCAATACTTGGTTACTTGGAGGAAGAACATTATCCAATACTACAAATGCTTGAGATTATATTGTCTAGACCCTCCATGAGAGGCACACAATACAACAACAACAACAACATACCCAGTGAAATTTCACTAAGTGGGGACTGGGGAGGGTAGAGTGTACGCACACCTTACCACTATCTCGTGGAAGTAGTTAAGAAAGACTCTTAGCTCAAGTGCATCAAAACCAAGTAATGATAGAAGAAAACATACCCATTAATACAGGGTGCTTGGAAAGAACTATATAATGCAAAATACCAACTGATATGGTCACTAGTTGTGTGATTGAAAATTAAATACAGGGCTCAAGTTTATATTGTAAACCAAGATATCAAACTCAAACCAACTAGCAGAAAAGTTCCAAAAGTTAAAAGTGGTTACAGATTACTAACTTCAGAAAAGGATCACGTAAACTCTTTACAATGCTCCCATGGAGAGCTAGAAGAGCAATATTGACTTCTACAGAACACCAAAGAAATCCATGTGTAGACTTTCTCAACCCAACAAATTTCAATTAGAAGGGAAAACAAAGACACAAAACAACATCTATTTAGCTTCAAAATGTGAGTACGCAATTCTGGATCAGTTTGGTGCTCCGAGACAATTAAACTAAAAATCCCAACAAAGCTAACCTTTTTTTTAAAAATCATGATAACAACTTAGAACAGGAGAGAAATGGACCATTAAAGGATCATTCCCCAACAGAGCCTTATCTAAATTACATATCCCATTATCGAATTCTCCCATCTAAGCAAAAATGATTTGACACATCTCTTTCCGATAGTTCAACAAAATGAACTTTGACTAACATTTTTGAAATTTAATCACTTTTCATTTTGATATGATAAAATTGTGGCTTATATCACTTCCCGTATAATCTGAATTTTAAGTATCAAGAAATTCCACTCTAATTAGCTTCAATTACTGGTTAAAATGTCTATGTATATGTAAAAAAACACCAAATAGATCGGTAAGAGGGCATTAGCTCCATCAAATTGGAACTTCGATTCGTCAAATACCACCTTAACTCTAGCTCTAGCTACTAAACAGTAAAAGCAACACGATGTGAATCTACAAAACTGCGTACCTTTAGCTGGAGTTATTTCTCTGCATAGAAATGGTGATATTTCATGTAGAATTCCTCTTTCTAGCACAGATGCAAATCAGAAAGAAGTTAACCGCAGAGAGAAAATCGTCTTAAGGTGAACAAGGGTTTATGGAAGGGAGAAGAATTGAAGCTACCATCTTTCAACTATTTTGCCTTTTAACCCTCCAAAGTATTGGATTGGTAAACTTTGGTGCCATTTTTTTTCTTTGGTAAATTGCTTTTTATAAAAATACTACTCTCCTTATTTCATATTAACTGAATCTGTAAATTAATACTACACACTTTGAAAAAAATATTCAAAGACATAATATTTTTCATTAATACCCTTTATGAAATCATACATATTCAAATAAATAAATTTTTAGTAATTTAGATATACATTCATATTGAAACATCTTAATTAATCTTGATAAAAACAAATAAGGTCTCAGAGTAAATATAATTTTCGTTTTTAATATTAAAAAGTAAAGTGAAGTTGCAAATAAAAGAAGTAAAAAGGAAGTGAATAATCAAAAAGGTCAGTTATGTAATTCCAACCTTCTCCCCAAACAGTTTTCCCCTTACAACTTTAAAGCTGTATAAGGGAATTCAAAAAAGCGAGCGGCTTCGAATTCAGCTACTCTTCACTCACTTTCACAGTTTCAGACTCCATTAACGAGCTCCCCTCTCTCTGTCTCTTCTTCACCAAACTGAATTCTCATCATCAATCAATGGACGTACCGAAAGACTACATGACCACTCTGTTGGATCATGGCTTGTTCGCTTCTGCTCAAATGCTCGTAAGTTTCTATAACCCTTAGGGTTTTTGTTTCACTGTTTTATCTAATCATTCCTTCTTCTTTTTTTGAGTTTATGAATTGAATCATTCGCTTTGCTGTATGGATTTCATTGTTTTAATTTGCTGCAGAGATGATCTTCATTTTGTTTCTCTGCTGATTGAAATTTACGTCTGCTCAAACGCCTGTTAACTTACCGACTTACTTTCATTGTCTTAGCTATACTTGTATTGATTTTGTTTCTTTGGTGATTGAAATGTACCTACCTCTTCTCGAATGTTAATTTTAATAGCCAATATCTGTTTTAGGTATCAATTCTGTTTATGATTTATGGATGTAATTTAATGCTTAAGTAATCTTGATTCTGTTTCTTTGGTGATTGAAATATAGGCGTCTTCTATAAGTCTTGAAACAAGTCCACATCTCAAGGCTGAGAATTTGGTTTGTTTCTTTGGTGATTGAAATTTACGTCTTTCTCAAATGCCTCTAACTTACTGACGTTGAAGTCTTGCTTTTGTTGTCTTAGATATCGTTATATTGATTTTGTTTCTTTGGTGATTGAAATGTACCTACCTCTGCTCAAATGTTAATTTTACTAGCGAATTTCTGTTTCGATTTCACCATTTTAGGTATCGACTCTGTTTATAATTTATTGATGTTATTTAATGTGTTAGTAATCTTGATTCTGTTTCTTTGGTGATTGCAATCTAGGGAAGTTTTCTTGTTTCGTCGTCTTCCGTAAATCTTGAAACAAGTCCGCACCTCAAGGCTGAGAATTTGGTTTGTTTCTCTTCTCTCTTCTATTCATCTTTAGAACAGATTTGGAATTAGAAAAAAAAACGATGTTAAGTTCAGCTAGACCATGATTTTGTATGTTAATGATTGGTTTGTTGATTGGGCTTGAGTAGAGCAGAATGGATACAAAAGATTTATATAGCAAACCCTGACTAGTTGATTTGTTTGTCACTGTACTTTGTTATTCAGGTGCTTCTTGGCGATGCTTTATTTCGGGAGAAAGAGTACAGGAGAGCTATTGTAAGATAATTTGGTTTAATATGGATGAATTAAAATGTTCTTATTGGCGTTATATATTGTTACGCCATATCAGATTTTATATTGTCTGTGCATTCGACGATTTAATTATTAATAGTGGGCACATTTTTATATGTGTGGTACTAAAATTGATTAGATAGTGTTAATTAAACTATTTGGTTTACTAATTTGCCAGCACACATACAAGCAAGCATTGCACTGCCACAGAATAATTCCGAAGCAAAATGCATCAGCAATTAGAAGTTCATTGTCTGCATCAACCAGGTCATCATCGCCAAATTCTTTCAACATTTCAACGATCAATGAGAATGAGGTATCTTGACTTATAACTTATTGTTGGAAAATGTTGAACTGGTCAAGGCACTACTGATGGTCTTTTGCTCCTTCTATTTTTTTCATCCTCATATAGGTGAAGTTCAAAATTGCATCATCGCATTGTACACTCAATGAGAATAGAGCAGCTCTTCTTGAGGTTAGTCATCTTTGTGACTATCTGGTGTAGACAGTTTTAGAATGTTGGCTAGATATCAATTTGTGATGAAAATGCCAAAAAGGAATTTTGTTTTTTTTCTTGGTAATTTTTTAATGTTGCTGTGTAGTTTTGTAATATTGTTTCTCTGTATAGCTGAATATAGACATTTAGCTCCACCTATATGTATAAATCTGCCTTGGAGAAAATTTTCAGTCGAAGTCTTTTTTCCATAATATGTCACAGATGGAGGGAATTCCAAGCAAAGCAAGAAATTTGCAGATGAATCTCATGATGGGAAAACTGTACCGAAATTCAAGACATACTCGTGCAGCCATTACATGCTATAAAGAGTGTTTAAGGTCTTTTGTCTTTTCATTTTTCTAGTAAAGCTTATTTACCTGTGATAGTGTATATGCATTTTCTTATTTATTTTTCCTTCTCTGGATGTTCTTCTTAATTTCTTGCCTTCTATTTTTTTAGTCTTTGATATTTCATGTAAAGAAAAGAATACGCTGAACAGTTTTGTTGCTCTTTCTCTTTGTAGTAATTTTACTTTTAGCCTTCTTATTCCTTCTTGCATCTGTCCTTGTTTAGTACCCCACCATTTTTTGATCAGCCTGCAGAAGGAGTGAGCAATATGAAGTGTCACAAGTTATTGGTTGCATTAGTTCGTCATCTCAGTCTTATCCATTTCACTGTTGTTGCTTTCCTGTTATTCACAGGCATTGCCCTTGCATCATTGAGGCCATCATTGCTTTGGCAGAATTGGGTGTTGCAGCTAAGGATATTATTTCATTGTTTCCACAGGTTTGTTTTACTAGATTTTCAGTATTTATATCTTCACTCTCCTTTTTGTAAAAGAGATGTTCGTTAAACACTTTGCTTATAAACATTAGACAGTTTTACTGTTAAGGCTTGGTCATAATAAAAATATGTTCAATAAGAATGCCTAGCGATGCATTTCATTTTAGTTTCAATTTCTTAATGCCTAAAGTTGTGCATCTGAATTCCCTCCCCCCCTCCCCCTCTTATATCCAAATCCAAATGTGTAGGTGATTAGTATTCATTTTTTTTTGTCCAACTTCTATGTTTGGCTTCAAATATGAAGATTCAAATGTTGATCTTCCCATGCGGTTGACAAAGCTATAGGTTGTGGTATCACATGGTTAAATTAGTGAATGGACAACAATATGTCTCTTCTTTGATCATAAGTTTCTTTTAATGTAGTTGTCATAACATCAAGGGTATCAATGCTAAGTTGAACAACCATTGGAGCTAGAGTTGTCTACACATCTTTGCTATGCCATGCCCCTGCTGCAGTGTGTTATGGACAATTACTTTTGTGCTTTAGGTGAATAGGGGATAATCTTCTGATAAAATATGAACACCTTTCTACTTTGGAAGAAAAAACAGGTCTAAGTTGTATTGAAGGGAAAAGTACATTTAACACCTGAATGATAGATAATTTCTTATACCCTGCCCCCATAGTGTCAGGAATTAAAATAACTTTGGTGCAACTTAGAAGATGTATATGAGGAGCGTAGATGGTAGATATCATCATTTATTATAACAGGGATATACCTCTGTTTTTTGAATCTTGTTTTTGGATGGGTTGAGGAATCTTACTTGGACGGTATTATCCCTCTGCTTTTATTTCACCTCCTCTCTTGTTAACTGTCCAAGGAGGAGTAAAATTCACTTGTAGCTCTCCATTTTTGTTTTCACGTTCCAACCCCTGCATTCCCTTTCGAGAGTCAGAGACCACGGGAGCTAATGATAAATAATAACATGAACGATATACTGATTCTATTATCTTGCTTGAAACTGTCATTTCATGAGTGTAATTAATAAGATGGACTTTTGTGCAGAATTCATAACATGTTTCAGAGCAATAATAGTACACCATTTTGCTTACTTTTGGTATCATTGCAGACCCCAACTCGAGGTGCAAGGTCTACTTTTGATCATTTTGATTCAAGTCGTTGGTTACAGGTGAGTGAACAATTTATATGGTTTAGCTTTCACTAAATAGACTGAGCTGTCTTTGTTAATCCGATTTTAATTTTTTACTTTTGTGCTGCTTATGTGTTTTACCTAAATTAAATTTGGATATGCTCATGCGATTTCGATATTCACATATTGACAACTTGTTATTGGGTTGTTCAGTTTCTTGAACGTAGAGTTTCTTTTTTTTGTTTCTTACCAATCCCATTGCTGGTTACTTTCTCGTTGTGCTACTGTTCATGTAGGGACACTGGAGGAGTTTCTTGTTTTGTTTCCATATTTACAAAGCCAAAGCTAAACTAGCCCATGTTGTTTTTAGTCTAACCCCACATAAGAGTGAGGAGACTAATGAGGATCTTAGGTTTCTATATCTCGTGTTTGCTATGTGGGGTCGAAACCCAGTGCTACGATGAGTAGGTGACAACTTTATATAGGAGAATGACATGGATAATCACGAAAGAGCTATCTCACAAAATATTTTCTCAATGAATGGGATGCCATTCTGATGTGAAGTTTTACTATCTTGGAAGATATCCTTAGATTACTTACCCATGAGTTGATAGATCAAGTGGTGCCAAACTTGCTATGGTGGCAACACATGAAAGCCACAAACACAGGCTCTCTATGTGGTAAAAAATGAGTGAATTTGCAATCAAGGGTGTAACGTGGTTAATGAAGTAGAACAATTCTTGTAGACCAGGGTTCAAATCCCAGTAGAGACCAAAAAATACTACTCCTCCGTTAATAATTTATGTGAACCTATTTTACTGGCACAGAGTGTAAGAAATAATTAGAACTTTTGAAACCTGTGGTTTTAAACA